GGCCAAGGAAGTGTTGCATTTGTCATGTTATTGTCCTCAACGCCTTGTTTTACTATGCTAACTGTCATTGAAACACCGTTCAGTTCGCCTCCGGACAGCGTTGATACTTAACACATGAATCTCTTTGGTGTTCTCCCTGACCGTTATATCAATCTGAGAGAGTTTAAAATGTTAGTGTTCTTTAAACTGCTATTTCCAGAAAATAGGTTTAAGGCGTGTGATCAAGTCGAGCAGCAAGCAAGTGGAGTTAGCAATCGTGAGCTAATGTGATCCAATTAACTTATGTGAATGCACTTCATTTAACTTTGATCGTTCAAGAACCTACGCTTAGCGAAGCCATACAAACGCACTGCTTATCCTGCATAAACACATCGCCACGGCGTAAATGAGCTCCTCGTTCTCTGCATTTTCCGTACTTTTTGGGTCGGGCTGTTTCTACGTAGCCACGACCGATCCACATAATTTAGTGCTCACTCGCCTCCGTGTTACCCATTTGTCAAATTGCGACCAGGTGGCAGAAGCTGCTGCTGCTGCTGCTTCTGCAAGGGAATCACCAAGCGCTAGTCTAGCAGAGACAATCAAATCGCAGGACAGATTTGTTCCCATAACATAAAACTCAACCTTCCTCCAGAGCTCTCCCTACTGACCCCGCTAAACTCTAAATAATAATTCTCACGCAGCTGGTCACTTGTTTACCATTCTCGTAGGTCATTCAAGCAAACAAACACAGAGGACAGTCCGAACTCGACGTGATTCAGAAGGGTTACGTTCGATACCGCAAATGTGTCAATCACATAGTGTAGAATAGCCGACCCTTGACTAAAGAAGACTGGCAATACCGCGACAGCTTAAACGCTTATTTTCTGTCAGACACCGCCAAAGCGTGTTTATGATACTGGCTGAGCTGCTCTTTAATACGCTGTTTTAATTCCGTAATAGTTGCCAATTACGTGCAGATGTCTCTAAAAGCCCCTGAAGGGACTGTGTTTATATTTAGCTACAAGGTTGTGAAAATAGATCGTGAATGCAAGGCATTATTCAATGCGCTTGATTTACTGCATCATGTTAAACGCCACTTCAATATTGTCTAACAGCACCACCAAAGTATTTACCAGACAAATTCAACTGGAGTTAAAAGTGTTCTCAGGGAAAATTGGCACCGCGTAAACAAATCTAATTGTTTCCTTCACATCCCACGCAGGCGTAACCAGATTGGAGTTAATTGCACTCAGATATTGATAGTGAGCCAAGAAATTGTTTTGCAACGACGTACCTGCCGGTTAAAACCTACGTATTTGTTGCATAACCATCGATGCAGAAAACGGAGAAACAACAACAAAAACTGTCTCTGCTTCACTGCATGCTCACACCGCAACTCCAAACAACTAAAGCAAACCACTGAAATTGTAACGTACATAGAAGCTGTCGAATCGTTGGAGCTTAACAAGTCATCATATGTTAGTGAATGTAAGTGCCGGAATCATCCTCCACGAAATTCAAAAAACAACCCAACACTTCAAATCCTCAAACAAGCCATGTTTCAAGAGCATGTGCAAAAGCAAGATTGCATATACCAATTGGTATAAAATGAGCCTCAATTGCAAAAGTTGGCAACCAATCAGTGAGGCCAAGTACCGTGGCCAAGTAGAATTGCCAGATGGTATGCATTTGGAAGGACGGTACTGCTGCTTAGTAAAGTCCTCGTGCTCACCAAACTCTGTTTTGTTGGCTGACAACATCTAACTCGCCTTCCTCATTCAAATGCACATTTCTCTAAATTCGAATTTGACAGGATTCTAAGCAATTTGCCTTGATGGGAAATAAATTAAGTGAGCGGGCGTTGTAAACGACTTGTGCTGATCAATCGCCATGTAGGTTTTGTGGCGTGCTAATAAAACCATCGGTTTCCAAATTTTACAGGTCTATACAAATGGGAAAGTCATCAATGCCTAGGTTCAGTAAAGTCGCAAGCATCATGGAAGCAAGTATTGGTCTCTAAAGCAGAAACGCCCAGATGCACTCGGAATTCACGTGCTAATGCAAGTAAGTCTTAAGCATATTCACACAACATCAGGTGAAGGCTTTCATTTAGCACATCTTGGACTTCTGTAGTCGAGTTTCAAACTGCTCACGTGGTACGCGACAAGGAAGGAAGTTAGGCATTTCTTCAAAACAGCTACTGTCTTCCAATAACATTGGCTTAATTTGTGATGAGGTCTTCCGATTCTGGCAAAACACTTTTTATTGCAGTAATAAAAATGCGTATAGTCACAGTTGGCAAGATTGAAGCAGGTGGGTGGAACCATGGTCTGCAATTCGTGGACCATTGTTTTGTTTCGGCTAGTGGCGAATCAAGTCAGCACAACGCGTCCTCAACCAGTGAGGCCCCGATATTATATAAGCACGATGTGAGAACTGTCTACTACTTCAAGTCTCTCAACGTGTTCACTTCCATCGCACGTATCGACATTCTCCCACTCTACAGTAATTCATTTTCAATTTCCTTACCTCACTGCCTCGTTTTTTGTAGAAGACATGATCAAGTTCATCTGTGTACTTGCTTTGGTGTGCAACGTGCTGGCCGATGTTCCATCACAGGAAGAGCGCAATACCATCATGGAGTGTCATACGAAATTGCGGGAGGGCGTGACTCCGACTGCCAGCAACATGCAGTTGATGGTGCGTTCTAGGATTCTACTTTGAGTTGACACACAGCATATCTGCTGATGCGGTTAGCCTAATTTCCCGACTTGTGTATAACGTGGGTAGTTTTTGTCCGAAGCTGGGGCCAATGCCTTAAAAACTCAAATACAATGCTTATTCAAATTGAAAATGCACACAGGGAATGTGGAACAGTAAAACCAACGCATCTCCTCATTGTTCACAGTTGAAGTGTAGTTGCACTGACCTAGCTAATGCTCACTGAGGCAAAGTAATTACGTTAACTGCGTCACCTTGTCACTGCCGTTGACTTAATTTCTTTGCACGTGTTTTCCCATTTAGACCTACTCATCAGAGATGGAGAAGCTGGCGGAAGAAGCGGTTGCCGCGTGCAGTCCCATCACTCCTAATCGGGTTTCGTATCCACAATTTCAGGGTGTTGGTTTCATTTACACTTTCTCAACTTCCGAGCAACCCACCTATCACGATTTGTTGTGCACAGTTGATGGCAGCACATACGGCTATGCGGACGACACATGTGGTTTTGGCTGCCGTGATTACAAGCAGGTAAGTGCGCCTTTACCTAAGACTTTGTCATGATGCTGACCATAATTCCAAAATCCAGTCAAAGGGAATCAGAAAATGTGAACAAGACTTTGCATTTTGGTGGTATCATTGCAGCAATTAGTTTAAGACAACCAGAAGTATCGAAAATATGCCCTTGACAATGAAGACAGTCGCGATCATGGATTGATTGCTAGATAAGGTTATTTTCCGTCACAATTGGTAATATTTATCTGTGGATTTGAAGATGGTGTGGGCTAATTCGACGCAAGTTGGCTGTGCATCGAAGACATGCGCTCTCAGACGTGGTGAATCAAAGCCGCCTCATGTGATGGCATGTGTCTACAAACCCAGGTAAGACATTTAGAAGATGCCTGACGTGGTTGTACTCTTCCGATTACTACAATGGGCACTCGTTTTCAGTGTACCTAGACTCAAGGGGAGACCGTATGAAGAGGGTGTGAGTTGCAGCAAATGCCCAGAAGGCTACGGATGCAACCGCAATCAGTGTGATGCTAAAACACCGTCTGCAGCCAAAACAACCTCTGGTGCCTCAGCAACTTCATCTCTCACGGTTCTACTTTCCGCGGTCCTCATCGCGCAGTGCCTGCCCTGACACCCCAACTCGCATTCCATCACCTCTTTTCTCTGACCTACCATAATGCCTTGACTACCCTATTGTTATCTTTGATTTTGTCTACTAATTAAATGCACATTCTGTCATTTGAATAAAATTGTTATTAACGAAGTTATGCCAGCTCATTTCAATGTCATCTTTTTCCTGAAATTAAGTGATGCTCACCTAACAACTCACAAAACTTCTGCTTTTGTCTGTCAGGCACATCAAAGTTGTTCATAACGCAGTTATTCTTTGTCAGTTTGATGATGCCTCCACACCAATGCCACCAAACCTCCCCACGAGCTATCAGCAAATACACCGGCTGCGGTGTAGGAGTCGAGGAATGTTGCTGACATGCATCCTGCTTGGTTGTAGAATCCAATAAAGTACCCACTAGCACAATTTCGCGTGTTCTCCCACCGTCTCAGTCAGTCCACATTGCCTTACACACGTCCTCAACATTTATTCACAAGTGGCGTCTTGTTGCGTAGCTGGCTCGACTATGCCCATGTCACCATTGACAACACCGAATTCATCCACGCTGAAGTGTACTCGACATGCACTATTCTCGTTGCTGCGACCTCGAGGACTCGCTAGTTTATTCTGATACACAGTAAATATGCAGTCGTGCTAGAGTGTACTTAGACGCTGCACTAGATGACATTTTGCCGCGTGATGATTTGTCGTGTAGGCTATCCAGTTATTTTTTGGCCCCTCAGAAGCAGTGTTGTGAGAACCATTGTGATAAATAAATGAGAGTAAGCCATGGGAGTGATTGCTTCTTGTGATGAATGCCCTGTCAACACCTGAACGCGGCAGGACTGTGGCAGTTCTTTCATATGGACCACAAATGCATCGGACGTGCTGAAGCAGTAAGCGGGTTTACTTTGACTGGCAGCTACTACCTTGCAGACCAAATTGTGGCTCAATATGAATGGCTGAATTTAAATGCAAATGAATGGAAAGAGGTCAAGCCTAGTTTGGATTATCTGCTCAAATCCACTTTGACAATTGATGCAAAAAAATATACATTACTTTATAATCATTCTGAAAAGAAATAACCGCCGCAATTTGTTGAGTTTTCAATCAATAGCTCTGGATCATTGTAATCACGACGTGAATATTTAGCTAATACTGAAGGTGTTTAAATAAGTAGTGTGAAGAGGTGCCGACAAATAAATGCCGCACTGGAATGCAAAGTCAGACATCGATGTGTACACAAGTAGCAGTCCTTATTTGAGAGATTCTGATTTCCCTTTTCGATTGACTAATAATTTGCAGGTTTAGATACCTTTGAAAAAGCAATGCTTAAATTGCATCAACAAGTGACACTACATGCCTGACATTTCTTCATGTAGAACCACATTCTCACTTTGCTGACGATTCCACCGAGTTCATTCTGAATGCAAATCAACTTGTTGTTGGGAAATCCACATGAGACAAACTTACGTAAACTACTTCTCATGGGGTTTCCACCCTCACATAGGCCAAAATTGTTTATAATGATTTGCATTTTGGGATTCACATTGAGCCATTAATCTTTTTTGCAAAGAGGTTGCTTCAAGTGGTGGTAGGATTTCACTCACTTGGTGAATAAACAGCAGTGCCACTTCAGGAACACAGACATACAGTCTGAGTTGGATGGTCACTCGGGGTATTATGCACCAGCGATTCCTGTGTGCACATTGAGCCCCATGAAAGAGGTCTTCAATTGGCAGGCGTTTTCTGTGGCCTCAGTGACACCAGTTTAGGCTTCTTTGCCTATAGAGCAAACTAGTAGCACTCAAATACCACAATGCCTATTGACTCCATTCACGCCTTGAATGAGAAACTTTCATACGCTGGCGTCGACTCTAATAATAGAACACAAATGATATCAAACCTCGATGAATGTGAGGTATGTGCAGTCAGAATAAACAGGGATTAGCAAACATGCATAATTTACGGAGTGGATAGGATGTAAGGTGAATGCCAACTGGAACAGCTAGCTTTGTAGCTAGGTAAAGTATTTAGCCTCACTGATTCCTGATCAGTAAACTAATGTGCTATTAATCTCTAGTTTTGCAATTGCAAATGTTTTTGGGTAGTAGTGGTTTCCACTTGCTCCTATAACAAGGCATATTCTGACGGTCCGTGTAGTTCGGCGTTTTTCCAATCACCCAGACATGGTTAATGAATGGTGCCACGCGAGTTTGATTGGGTGCGTCCGAAGAGGTCGCGAAGAGATTGGTTCAGTGTGCAGTGAGGGCGGACGGCATCATCAATATCATTAATAAAATCACCATATTGCTTACTGACAGCAACCTTCTTGTCTCTCTCTTTGACGTCTCATTTCACTGTGTCAATTACTGTTAATGTGACCACTTTCATATTTTATTGCGTTCAAGGAAATGCGAAGTGTTTTCTCTCCTTCCGTGAGGCACTGGAGTAGGGTAATCGAGCCATAGTATGCAAAAGACATGGACAACAGGGTAGGTTTTATTGACAAGCAACACACAAGAACAAGCCGTCCTTGGCCTTTGTATGGGTTGCGTTCGTAGCTTTTCTCAGCCAGCTGTGTATCGACTGATCTTCGTCGCAAGCCGTCCATGCACATAAAAGACACAGGTTTGGCTGAGCTTGACATGATTCAGCTTGTCCACTGTCCAGCAGGCCATAACGCCACGCATAAAGACAACGGACAAATCGGCCTGCACACAGAGCAGCCAAGTGGCTTCTTGCCATGAGCGCCGTTGGACAGAATGTGTAGACAACGCAAATTGTGCGATGTGCAACTACTACTAGTAATTTCATCTTAGGTCGAGTTTTTGTGTGACATTAAACGAAAGAAGGCTGCTCGATATTTGCGTAGACAACGTTCTGCGTTTTTTCTTGATTGCGACGAGTTTTAGTTGCCTAACTCATTTCACTTTGGTGCATTGAGCGTATCAGTCCCAGGCCCATTGATCTAATGATAAAAATTTGGACGTTTAATCTGGTTACAACTACGACTTCGACGGATAACGGTGAAGTGGCCCAAGTGGTGTTGGCCCGGTGTGGCACTCAAAGTGACACTCAGTGACCTCGGTACGATAGGCAAGTGTGTCAAGACAAATGACTAGTCGAAGCAAACACGACTAGTCATTCGACTAGTCATTTGTCTTGACACATTTGCCTATCGTACCGAGGTCACTGAGTGTCACTTTGAGTGCCACACCGGGCCAACACCACTTGGGCCACTTCACCGTTAT